ACACGCGCACACACACACTGACCTGTTCTCCATCTCCAGCTCACTCTTCCTGCTGTTGGCGTCCTCCAGGAGACTCTGCAGGAGAGCGATCTGCTGGTTATCAGAGCCGTCCTGCGCCAGCTTCAGCATCTTATTCTCATGCTGGAGACGGATCATGCGCTCGCTGCGGGAGCACACACACATCAGTAAACACACACACACACACACACACACACAAACACACACACCTGACCAACACATCTCTCACACACTCCGCTTAACCCACCGGATCTCAGGTGTGACGATCTCTGCTGCCAGCGAATCAGACGGCTCGTTACTGCCCAGCGGAACCAGACCTGAAAGCACACACACACACACACACCATCAGGTATTTACATTTACACACACTCGACAGTTTCTAAACTGTTATGAACACAAGGGAAGATACTCTGAAGAATGTTCAGCCACAGCCGGAACTAAAACACAGTTTCCTGCAGATTCCCCAGAAGATCTTCACTAGTGTTCAGCAGAACACACACACACACACATACTCACACACACACACACACACACACACACACACACACACACACACACACACACACACACACAGGTTTATAACGAGTGTACACTTATAACAGAATCTTCATGAGTGTGTGTGTGTGTGTGTGTGTGTGACGTGTGTCATTACAGTGGAGTGTATGGGAGGTGTGTATTCACCTGCTGTGAGTTGCGACTCCTGTGCTTTAACACACTTCAGCTCCTCGATGGTCTCCTTCAGCGAGTCTCTCTCCGTCCTCATGCGCTGCACGCACACGCACACACACACACACACACACACACACACACACACAATCTCAGTATCTCACTGGCTCTGCTTTACTGCGTGTTCGAGGGCGGGGCCATTACTCATTTAGGGCAGGGCCATCAGTCATTTAGGGTGGGGCTATCAGTCCTTAAGGGCGTGGCCATCAGTCCTTTAGGGCGGTAAGAGGGCTTTGAGTAATTTAAGGCGGGGATATCAGTTCTTTAAGGCGGAGCTTTCAGTCTTTAGGGGTGGGGCTATCAGTATTTTAGGGCTGGGTTATCAGTCATTTAGGGCAGGGCTATCAGTCATTAAGGGCGGGGCTATCATTCATTAAGGGCGGGGATATCAGTCATTAAGGGCGGGGCTATCATTCATTTAGGGCGGGGCTATTAGTGATTTAGGGCGGGGCTATCAGTCACTTAGGGCAGGGCTATCAGTATTTTAGGGCAGGGCTATCAGTCATTAAGGGCAGGGCTATCAGTCATTAAGTGTGGGTCTATCAGTCATTTAGGGCAGGGCTATCAGTCATTAAGGGCGGGGCTATCAGTCATTCAGGGCGGGGCTATCAGTCATTAAGGGCGGGGCTATCATTCATTTAGGGCGGGGCTATCAGTGATTTAGGGCAGGGCTATCAGTCACTTAGGGCAGGGCTATCAGTATTTTAGGGCAGGGCTATCAGTCATTAAGGGCGGGGCTATCAGTCATTAAGTGTGGGTCTATCAGTCATTTAGGGCAGGGCTATCAGTCATTAAGGGCGGGGCTATCAGTCATTTGGGGCAGGGCTATCAGTCATTAAGGGCGGGTCTATCAGTCATTTAGGGCTGGGCTATCAGTCATTAAGGGCGGGGCTATCAGTCATTAAGGGCGGGGCTATCAGTCATTAAGGGCGAGGCTATCAGTCATTAAGTGTGGGTCTATCAGTCATTTAGGGCAGGGCTATCATTCATTAAGGGCGGGGCTATCAGTCATTTGGAGCAGGGCTATCAGTCATTAAGGGCGGGGCTATCAGTCATTAAGGGTGGGTCTATCAGTATTTTAGGGCAGGGCTATCAGTCATTTAGGGCTGGGCTATCAGTCATTATGGGCAGGTCTATCAGTCATTTAGGGCTGGGCTATCAGTCATTAAGGGCGGGGCTATCAGTCATTTAGGGCGGGGCTATCAGTCATTAAGGGCGGGGCTATCATTCATTTAGGGCGGGGCTATCAGTGATTTAGGGCGGGGCTATCAGTCACTTAGGGCAGGGCTATCAGTCACTTAGGGCAGGGCTATCAGTCACTTAGGGCAGGGCTATCAGTCATTTAGGGCGGGGCTATCTTTGCTTAAGGGCGAGGACTATCAGTGGTAGGGTTGTGTGATGTCAACCAGTCAGGCATCGTACAATGTCTAATGTGAAACATTGCGTGGATGAGGTGAATTATTATTTATGAATGATTAATTAATTCATAACGAATGATTTGTAGCCTACTGTTTCAACTAGCTGTCCTGCATAGCCTTTGTTTTACTCATAATCAAATCATTAATAAATAAAGATATGTTGCACACCAATTAGCACCTGTCAAGCACTGTTTCCACAGGAGGTTGGTCGGTTAAAAAGGTGCACCACCAACAGTATCTGAGGTTTACACTAACATTACTAAGTACAAGTGTGAAAGTGATGTGTGTGTTCAGCGGACTGAAGGCTGTTCAGAAATGCTAAGTAAAACACGGTGTGGATGTGGATCATTTTCGTTCTGAAATGCCTTTTTAACACACTGTGAGCTGTGTAAAGTCAAATCGCGGGTTTGGACTTCAAATCAATCAATGCATGGAGGAATTAGGCGGAACTAACGAAACTGAAAGTGTTTGGCGGAAGCAATTGGCTGACGGAGCTTGCCGAGGAGATACAGAACTTTCCGAGGAGATACGGGAAGTGCAGAGTGAATGCGGAAAGAAAAAAAAAACTCACATGGCAAGTGCATGCATGCAGACGCGCTGTGAAAGCTGAAGAACGCGATCGCTGCATTAATAAACTTTCACGATTGCTTGCATAAAGTTTAAGCTGCAGTGAGTAAGGAAAGGAAGGCACATCAGCACTTGGTCATCTCAGGGACACTGATGGTACGAGAAATGACTTTTTCTAATTACAAAGGACTGCCACATGCATTGCCTTATTCATAATATATGTGCAATATAAAAGACAGCTGCTATTTTGTTGCACTGTAGTTCATTATTTTGTGCATTATAGTACTTAATAATACTGTTCATTTATGTAAATAGTTTATGTAAAGTGAAATGCTTGCATTAATATTAAGAAGTATTACTTAAATATGCAAATGAATAATGCTGAGAAAGTTTGTGAAGGAACTGTCTTTATTTACATTACATTGTGTTTGTTTAAGTCAGTATTGCGAATAATGTATATTTGATATATTTTGTTCCTTTTCTAAGGTTATCAACCTATTGGTATCGCTGCTACTATTAACGCTACTACTATTAACGCTACTACTACTGTTCAAGCTCTACAGTATTGTATTATTGGGCAACCTGAGAGTTAAAATACAAAAGCTGAAAAAGCCTTGGAGTTGTCCCCTGTGTCCCTGTTATTGGCTGAAGCTCTTTCGAGTTAGAAGCAGTTACTGGTGTGTGAAACCCATAAGAACTCGACAAGCTGTACGAGTGTAAACGGGGCCTGAGTGTGTGTTTTTCGCAAGCGGGTTTGCGACGGGGGCAGGCGGACGATCGGCGATGCCGGCTCAGCATCATGTTGTCTATTGGGCATCGTCTATCAGCTCAACCCTAATCAGTGGGTCTCGATTCTGCTCTACTTTCATCAATTCATCAATCTTCCTCCATTTTGTTAGCGACGCTCGTCTTTCAAACGCAAGCTAATCAGCTGTCAGAGAGCTAAATCATGAGCGGTCTGCGTTCATTTCTTATTTCAGGACTGTTTCGAGTGGATGTTCATCACAATATGGGGAAGAGGAGGATCTTACGTTCCATTCACATGCACTTTAGGACTTTAAGAGCACTCTGAATGAATCTTCAGACTAGTCACTACACCAGACATCTGCTCTAATGTCCCGCTAGGTGCAGCTGAACAACTGAGGAACACACACATCTATCTCTGTCTGCATCGCTCGAGAACAGGAACAGAGGCGGGAGATTCTTACGTCCTTCTCCTTCTGCAGAGAGTCCACCTTCTCCTTCATGCGCTTGTACTCAAACTCCATCTTGTCGGCCTTCTTGGACTCCTCGGAGAGTTTATTCTGGAGCTCCACCACCTGAAACAGCAGACAGGAGGCAGTGTGGTGAGTGCTGCTCAGTGTGTGTGTGTGTGTGTGTGTGTGTGTGTGTGTGTGTGTGTGCTGACATTATCTTCAGCAGCTCAAACACTTTAATGGCTAATGGAGAGACGGCTGCTTCTCACTCAGGCCTGCTGTCTCTGCTAATGAGATGGAGAGATGACGAGCACTAGTGGGTTTCCCCACCCACCGACTTGATTGACAGGTATATATTTACATGTCTCCATAGTAACGTGTATAAACATGTCTACTAAACAGGATTAGCAAAGAAACTGAGAGTAAAGATCCGCTCAGCTCTGTGTGTGTGTGTGTGTGTGACCTGTCTCCTGTAGTGCTCCTCTGTGTGTGTGTGTGTGTGTGTGTGTGACCTGTCTCCTGTAGTGCTCCTCTGTGTGTGTGTGTGTGTGTGTGTGTGACCTGTCTCCTGTAGTGCTCCTCTGTGTGTGTGTGTGTGTGTGTGTGTGTGTGTGTGTGTGTGTGTGTGTGACCTGTCTCCTGTAGTGCTCCTCTGTGTGTGTGTGTGTGTGTGTGTGTGTGTGTGTGTGTGTGTGACCTGTCTCCTGTAGTGCTCCTCTGTGTGTGTGTGTGTGTGTGTGTGACCTGTCTCCTGTAGTGCTCCTCTGTGTGTGTGTGTGTGTGTGTGTGTGTGTGTGACCTGTCTCCTGTAGTGCTCCTCTGTGTGTGTGTGTGTGACCTGTCTCCTGTAGTTCTCCTGTGTGTGTGTGTGTGTGTGTGTGTGTGTGTGTGTGACCTGTCTCCTGTAATGCTCCTCTGTGTGTGTGTGTGTGTGTGTGTGTGACCTGTCTCCTGTAGTGCTCCTCTGTGTGTGTGTGTGTGTGTGTGTGTGACCTGTCTCCTGTAGTGCTCCTCTGTGTGTGTGTGTGTGTGTGTGTGTGTGTGACCTGTCTCCTGTAATGCTCCTCTGTGTGTG